TATCTCATTATTGTATGTATGCATGCTTACCATATGGTGGACCTAATGGAACCCGAAAAATCTCAAAATTGAGACATAACAAAACTTGATTGCGCTGAGTTCTTAGGTGTGAAGATATCACTGCAACATTACCCATATTTGATCTGATTTAGGATTTGTGTCTGAAATAGCCATAGAAATAAATATTTGGACTTAGAAAAACTGAAATAGCAAAAATCTGTATGCAACTTAATTATGTAGGTGTCTGTACAACATTAAACACTACAAGGTTGCAATTTTATGTAGAAATGTTACTGGTGGTTTTAGAACCATTTTTAACTGGACTAATCCCAATAATTATTCTGACCTGTAGGGAATTTTAATATGGATGTTTTCTTAAACAACCACTTGTTTAGCAACTGTTTAAAGTTGTAATAGTGCTGAAAATGAGGAGACTTTTGACTGGGTCCTTGTAACTGCAACTGTCACAGTGTCCCAGCAGTCACATGATCATGATTTGGATGCTTGGTGGCTGGTTTTCAATTATAATGGTCACTGTTTCCTCTGTTCATGTAACTATTTGTGACATTCAGTGCCAGCATTCGACAAGCAAAGAAGCCGGCAAGTAAGTCACAAATGGTAATCATGTGATATCATGCTCAATGATCACCCACGAGTCACTTAATAACAGCAGCCAGAACTGTCATAAATGCCAGCATGGTCAAGTGACATTGTGCTTAACAATTGTATTGCTTAGTGATGGAGTTGCTGGTCCCAATTATTGTAGTTAAGCAAGAACTACCTGTATAAGAATTTGATTTCAGATGATGTCAAACAGAATATAATTTTTACATATGATAAAAAGTAATCATGCTATATTATCTCAATGGGTTTTTCATGTCATAATTAAATCTGAAATAATATTAATTCATTCTATTTGATACTGTAATATGCATCCTAAAATATAATTAAAAAATAGAAGGCCCAGAGGATTTTCCCAATTAGAATTACTATTTTTTTGTGTGTCTTCTTTAAAGCAGGTGCTATCTTATAACTGAAGTGACAGCTGAATATGATTGTTCAAAGATAAATGAGATGACACTATAGGGAAAATCTGACATAGAAGAGAACTCTAGATGGAGAGGCAAGCTGTATGAGAATGGCTCTGAAAGAGAGCTTTGGGAAAGCTGGCTTTGTGTGATAGATATTCACAGATGAATTGATCTTGTAGCTAGAATCTCTGGCTGAAAATAGAAACATCTTGACAAATATCACTGCATACCGCCAATACCCTAAAGAAAGTTTTTCAATGAACATCCCCCCATTTTCTTCTCTTTACCATGTGCTCTGAACAAGACCAGGACTTAGTTCCAATAGGAAATTGAACCTTACAAATGACAGATTTAGCTCACAACAAAATTAGTCTGAAAACACGCTGCATACTTTTTTTAAAAAAAATCTCATTTCCCCTCTTTTGTTCTTGGCAGTATCAAAATACAGGCTGTTCAAGCATGCGCTCATTTTTGCACGGAGGTTCCATACGTGTGTGTGTGTGTGTGTGTGTGTGTAGTATTCAGCTTTGTTCGGGTATTTTCCCACATCATTATAGTTGTGCTTTTAAAGTTGTAGCGACGAATCTCATCTGCCATCATCAGGTTCTGTATTGTGTTTGTCTGTGAGTCAGACTTTCACAGCTGCTTCTGTTTTAAATTTGGTGCTAGCCTACTGCTGTGTTAGAATGGTTTTTTCTTCATCCTGATTGGCTGGGAGTCTTGGTCTGTGTTTATCGGTCTTGGAGTTTGCTGTGTTCTGCTTGATTGGTGTTTCTAATATCTTCTGTATGTTTTGTAGCCCTTTTTTTGTCTTGATTGACTGGCAACATTGTGTTTCCTGTATTGATGCAGCTTGGCTTTGAGTAAACAGATGGCTATCATTTATTAGGAAGCTAGGTTGCCTGGCTGGGGTGTATTTGAACTGGAGGTATCAGGGGGTGGGTCTGTTTGTGCCCATGTGTTTGCTTGGCTTGTGGTGTGGAGAATTTTTTGTTTGTGATTGCAGGCTTCCAAATAATTGACAGTCTGGTGGAGTCATCTCTTCTATTCATGCTTTCAGGTCTTTTTTCAATCTCTATGGCTTCTCTGATAATTCTGTAGCTGGGGTTTTCTATAGTGGCTAGGGTTTTGGTGCCATTGAAGTCGATGCTATGACCTGTTGCTTTCATGTGTTGGACTAGTGAGGAAGTGTGTTCCAGCTTTTTTACTGCATTTTTGTGTTCATCCAGGCGGGTACTTATTCTTCTATTGGTCTGTCCGATGTATGGGGCCGGGCATGATGTGCAGAGGACTTCATATATGCCTTGGTTTTCCAGGTCAATTTTTATCTTTGGGGTTTCTTAGGATGGCTGCTATATTTCTGTCTGTTTTGAAGGCAGGCTTGATGTGATGCCTGTGTAGTATTTTATTGATTTTGTCTGTAGTACCTCTTCTGTAGGGCAGGACAGCTGTTCCATAGGTCTGTTCATCTTTTAGGTCTCCATTATGTCTCAGTGTGTTTTTGTGGATCAGGTCTGTGATTTTGCTTTTGTGGAAGCCGTTGGCTGTCAGTACTTTAGTCAGGGTGCATAGTTCAGTCTTTATGTGTGTCTTGTCTGCCAGGCATTTGGTTCTGGTGATTAGTGTTTTGGCCACGGAGTTTATCTGTGCTGGGTGGTGGTGGGATTGGGCATTGAGGTAGCAGTTGTGTGTTTTCTTCTGGTTTATGGTGTGTCCTAGTGTGCCATCTGTTTTTTTGTAGATTAATACATCTAGGAATGGTAGTTGTTTGTTTGTTTCCGTTTCCATGGTGAATTTGATTTTGGGATGTGTGCTGTTTAGGTGTGTTAGGAAATTGTTTAGGTTTTCTTTTCCATGGGGCCAAATAACAAATGTGTCATCGATGTATCTTAGCCATAGTTTGGGTTTGTGGGTGGCATTGACTAGGGCTCTGGATTCGAATTCTTCCATGAACAGATTTGCAATGATGGGTGACAGTGGTGATCCCATAGGGACTCCTTCAATTTGCTTGTATCTTTGTCCTTTGTATATGAAATATGTGTTGGTTAAGCAGTGTTCTGCTAGTTCCATGAGGTGTTTGGGTGGCTGGTATTTATTTTTGATGATTTCCAGGGTTTCTTTTATCGGGGCTTGAGTGAATAGTGAAACCACGTCGAAACTTACAAGCAGATCTTTTTGTTCCATGTGTAGATCTTTGATCATTTCCAAGAGGTGGTGTGAGTTTGTACATGTGAAGCTGCTGCTTCAGCATGGGGCTGTAGCTGCTTTGCTAGGTATTTGGCTAGGTTTTGTAGTGGTGCTCCTCTGGAGCTGACTATGGGTCTGAGAAATATGCCTTCTTTGTGTATTTTGGGGAGACCGTATAGTTTGGGGTATCTAGAAGATTTTTCTCTTGAGATGACCTTCTGTTGGATCTCTTTGCTCATGTTGCTGGTTATGATTTTCTTCCTGGTTATTTTTTCCAGATATGTGGTTGGGTCTGTGTTTATGGGTTTGTATGTGGAGTCTTGGAGTATGTCTGTCAATTTTGTTTCGTAGTCTTTTCTATCCATTACTACTGTGGCATTACCTTTATCTGCTGGAAGTATGATTATGCTGCTGTCGTTCCTTAGGGCTTGCAGGGCTTTTAGTTCCTCTTTGTGTAAGTTGCTTTTGGGTGGTTTGCTTGTGCATAGGATGTTAGTGACTTGGTGTCTTATTCTATCAGCTTCATCTGTATCTAATTTAGTTAGGCTGGATTCCACTCCGCATATGATGGATTCTGTGGAGATTTTTTGGGGGGTGCTATAGCATAATTGAATCCTTTGGTTAGGACATCTGTTTCTGTTTTGGTGAGTTCTCTGTTGGAAACGTTGTATACTAATTATTTCAGGTGTTGTTGTGAGTTGTTGGGGGCTTTCTTGTCATGTTCTAATTTCTTTAGTTTCTTCAGGAGTTTGTCATTTTTCTAAGTGGTTTCAGTTTCAGCTCTCCAAGTTGTAAGTTGTTTTATCTTGTCCCAAAGTAGAGGGTGAATTTTGTTGCTCAGTTCCAGGTGTAGGGCTAGGAGGTCTTTGTTTAACTGGTTGAGTTGGAATCTCTTTCTGTGGAGCTCGTTCCTGAGTAGAGCCATTTCAGTTCTTTTCAGGATATGTTTGGTAGCTGCTGTGCTGTGACAAAATGTTAATTTGAAGCTGGTTGGAGTTGCATTGTTGTCTTTGCAGCTGCGTAGGAATTTGAGGTCACATAGTATTCCTACTCTTTTAACTTCCAGCTTCTCATACCACCACACCACACCACAAGCCAAGCAAACACCTGGGCACAAACAGACTCCGCCCCCCCGATACCTCCAGCACAAGCACACCCCAACCAGGCACCCAGATGAAACCTAGCTTCCTAATAAATGATAGCCATCTGTTTACTCAAAGCCAAGCCGCACTAAAAGCCCCCAATACAGGAAACACAATGTTGCCAGTCAATCAAGACAAAAAAACACTACAAAACAGACAGAAGATTTTAGAAACACCAATCAAGCAGAACACAGCAAACTCCAAGACCAATAAACAGAGACCAAGACTCCCAACCAATCAGGATGAAGAAAAAACCATTCTAACACAGCAGTAGGCTAGCACCAAATTTAAAAAAAGAAACAGCTGTGAAAGCCTGACTCACAGACAAACACAATACAGAAGCCTGATGATGACAGATGAGATTCTGCCAAAACGTTGCTACAACTTTAAAGGCACAACTATAATGATGTGGGAAAAACCTGAACAAAGCTGAATAACATACATACATACATACATACATACATACATACATCACTTGTCAGGCTACAATGTAAAGTAGGTCACTGTTCATTAAAAAAAAAAGTCTATACAATTCATTTGAATGTGTGAGGGGAAAAAAGCTCCTTTCCAGTCTTTGTAAGCATGTTGTCCTTTATGGCATTTAAAGCACTTAATCCAGGAGGCTTATCCATTGGGGAAGAACGACGGGCATTTTATGGAACAGTCTTTATTATACATGCCCACCTTTAGATAGGTAAGCAATCAGTGTTACAATCACTCCAACATATACTCCTGTGCCGATGGTAATTGAAAGTGCAGCGAGGAAGAGTGCTCGTCGAGAAGCTGAGCTTGCCTGGTGAAAGTCCCCCTTGGAGATAGCCTTAGTTGTCTGGAAACAAACAAAGAAATACTTAGGTTACTATATTGTATATTATTCACTGTAATTTGTTATAGTTAATAATATCAGCTGTTTTTCAGCAAAGGAATCTGTCTTGTCTCCTGAAAATTAGTTCTGTCTATGTCTGGATTAGATGAATAAAGCAATTGAATTCTATTATAGTCTTAGATTGAAAACTAATGTGAAGTTATGATTAGACCAGAGAAACCAGGTTCAAATCATCACTCAGTGATAAACTTTATTGGATTAGCTTGAGTCAATCAATATAACTAAGCTCACAGGATTCCTGTGAAGATTTTCTCTTTCTACTCATTTCATTTTTTAATATATAAATTATAAATCAATTGCAAGATAAATAAACATTTTGAAATCTATCTGTCAATCAATATCACACATCCTGTCCAAGGATTAAAGAATAAAGTCTGCTTATGATTTCTGGGAGTGCTGAAAGCTGTTTGCTGGCTGCATTGCCAAATAATATGGAATGTTCAATTCGTCCCTGGTCCAACAATTATCAATTCCTTCACTAAAGGTATGTTATTGCTTCTACATATATTTCTTTTGAAATAAATTGATCCAATGTCACCAAAATACTTATACATTATATGTTCATATAAGAAGCATAACCCAGCCAGTTTCTTAATGATAGTTCTAGCAGCACATTCTTTAAATGTGTAGGCCTAATCCAATTTGTCTGTACAACATGCAACAATTATAGCAGAATAAGGCAAAACCAAGCAACCAGAAAAAAGAATGCCAACCCTGTGCTCCAAGTTCAAGGCCTTGGAGAAGAACCAGCTTTTAAGGTCTCATTTTGAATAGGGCTGGGGGTGGGGGGGAGGAGTTCAATGCAAATCTCAGGGAGGGCATCATTTTAGAGGGCACATATTGCAATCAAGGAAGTCCACTTTCTGTAGTCCATCAGATAATATTTTAAATTGATGGGACCCAAGGCTTACCACTATTGCCTGATAATATGAAGATGGGCAGAAACTACTGAAGAAAGTCCTTCAAATAACCATTAGGCTTTATATTATGAAAGATTTTATAGGTGGAAACAAGCACCTTGAATTACATCTGGAAGCCTTCTAGTAACAGCGCAGTTCATGAAGCAGAGGTGTTAGGTTGAAATACTGTGGCATACCCATAACCGTCCATTCCACTGCATTCTGGACCACCCGCAGCCTTCAAGTGGCTTTCAAAAATAGCTGCATGTATGACATACTGCAATAGTTGAAATGCAAATGACCAAATGTGAGTGACAGTCCTAGGTGCAGTACAGGTGTTGGTGCAATTGGCAGAATCCATGTCTATATCTAGTAAATTTTCCACCCGGGAGGTTGTCCGCTGGGATAAGAAACAAGGCATTATTTCCCTACCAGAACCTGTAAAGCCAATTTTGGGCTGGATGTGGATGACCCTAAAGTCTATCTTCTTTGTGATTTAAATGGCTGCTAACTAAATTTTGTGTCTTATATCTCCTTTTGCTAATAGCTCATTGTAAATTATATTTGGCATTTTGGGTGAAAGGTACATGGGCCTCAGTGCAGGATCATGCAGAGTGAGCGAGACTGTGTTGCATTGATGGGTAGAGCTAGGCTCCAGACAAAGGAAGACTACGGAATTATGTCTTACTTTGGCTATCATTAGCTCTGAGGAAATAGGTACAGTGCACATTTGTTCACTGCTGATTCTCTCTTTCCTGTAACATTTGGGTTGCAGTGTTAAAAGGTTTTACCAGTAGACTCTTTTATTGTTCCTCTCTGACGCATTTTGTATATCTCTGCACGTTTCTGTATGTGAGTTGGATCCAGACTCTGCTTCTTATAGATAAAAGGTTCTTTCCTTCCCCAGGAGGTTTCTCATTTAGAGGCCCCGTTGATGGAAAAAAGGAGGTGGTCCTGACTGAATGTAAAGTAGACCATAACCTACTACTTGATAAAATAGAAAGATGTCAGTTAGACAGCATCACCACCAGATGGATTCATAACTGGCTGACAAACTGCACTCAACGTGTAGTCCTCAATGGAACTGCATCTATGTGGAGGGAAGTATGCAGTGGGGTACCCCAAGGCTCTGATTTAGACCCAGTACTCTTCAACATCTTCATCAATGATTTGGATGAGAGGATAGAAGACGGAAATAACACTAGAGTAATTATTTCATGTATATATTGTTAACCAGCATAAGTAGCAACATTGTGTTTTTTTTTCTTCTGTCGCTCACTGACTCTAGCTATGTTTTTTTTTAAAGAAAAAAAAATCTATATAGGGAACATTTTGCATTTCAGGAAAATCCCAAGTAATTTTAGATTATATTTACTACTATGAAATTGTTGTTGTATACTGAGTAGCATATAAAGTAGTATATAAAGGCATTTAGTAAGCCAAGGCTAGTGTACATACAAGCATATATTAATAGATGTGAATTCTTACCCCTTGAGAAAAACAGAAGGCAGCAATTCCCAGGGGCCAAAAACAGCAGAGCATTGAGAAAATGGCTAAGCCTAGGTGGTCTCGTGGAGGAAGCATCAGAAAATTATCTTCACTCTCGCTGTCACTTGAAGAGTCACTCTGGAAAGTAAATTAATTTGAGAACAGTTACCAATAGCAAACTGTAAGCTTGCCCCACAAAGCATCCAGCAGGAATAGAAATCCAAATACTATGCATGTTTAATGTTGTTGTCTTGACAATATACAGCATTTCTCCTGATACCTGGTAGACAAATAATTTTCACCTGGCAGGAAACTTCCCAAATTAGGAATGTAGCATTGTCCCAATATTTTATTTATTTGGATGGATCAGGCAGATATACCAGACTCTTCTAGAGAGGTGGAATAATAACAATAAAAGAGCTCAAGATCTGAAAATCAATAGTTGAAAGATTATAGCATAAATTGGCCTTGGTGGTCCCTGTGGTTATCAGCACACTGGGTACCATGCCAAAAAATCTTATATGGCACTTAGAAACCTGGGCATTGACAAAATTTTCATCAGTCAATTGCGAAAGGTAACACTGCTTAGATCCATACATGTATTGTGCTGATACATTGTGATATTGTAGATTCTTGGGAAGAATTTGCTGCATATGAAGGCCCATACCAGCTAAACAATTTGCAGATGGGATTTCACATTTTTGAATATGTAAGAACAATAAGATATGCATCAAGAAAGAAGATATAAAACAGAGCCAAAATATGCCAGACAAAAACTTACAGTAGCTCACCTACCACCCTGTCCTAAGGCTTGGGAAAATAGCCAAGTTTTCAATGCTTTATGGAATATCTTCAGGGTGAGAGTCATATTACAATTCCAGAGGGCAATAGAGAAGGCAGTTAAGTACAGCCCAAACTCAAGGAACAGAGTCAACCTTCAGGCTCCAGGATGCCTTACCTGCCACATAACTGATGTTAATATGAATAATCCACTAAGAAAAGACATTTAAAAGATGGTATTTGTGTTCAGAGTTTTGCAGCGTAAATTTAGCACCAGAAAAATAAACACAGATGGCTGATGCTTCATTTAATGTCTTTATAAACATATTAAGTAAATTTTTACAATACCAGTTGTAGATTTCTCCAACATGGAGCAAATTCAAACATGTTACAAGTTCAGAGCAGAACAGCAACTCAACTTCAGCAGACAAGCAAGCAAGTTAGTTTCATTTTCAATAGACTCAGAGCTCAACATAGCTTCAGAGCTGCGGAGCTTGCCTTCCTGTAGTGGCTGCTTCCAAAATGGCACCAACTTCTGGGATGGCACCATGTGGCTTCTTTATGGGAAGGCCATATGGTGATTTGGCTACTTCTCTTTCTAAAAGGCTACACAGCAGATTGGCCAGCTCTCCTTGGGAAAGATGATTTTGGAAAAGGTATATGAAGCGAGGCATGATGGGGAGGGAGGAGGTCCAAGGGTGTGGGTCCCAGAGGGGCAGGAAGCAGGCCCAAGGCCTATGAGGACACAGCAGGGTGGAAGGCAGGTGCAAAGGACCCAGGTGGGCAGGATTGGGTGGGGGGGGAGAGACAGGCAACTACAGTCCCTATGGTTGGTCATAAGAATAGGCAAATTGCCAAGTACCTAAATTTTATTCATATGACCACAAGGGCACTGAAATGGTCATAACTTAAGGTAGAAATTGTAAATCCCTTTGTTCAGTGCTCTTGTAATTTCAAATGGTCATTGAATGAATGGCCTTAAGTTGAGGACTGTCTGTTATACATAATTTTTAATTTTATGCTGTGTTGATCTATTAAATCTTAGTTTATTAAAGGATGGAGTAGGCAATCCAGACCCCTCCTGTGACAACAATTGCCAAAAACGACGATTGTTTCACATCTTTTTGAGGAGTCATATGAAAATTGTTGTGAAAACCCTGAACAATGTTTATCTTAATTAAAATATAATAATACAAGAAAAGGCCCAAATCTCCCCCAAAATTTAAAGGAAAAAAATGCAGAAATATTTGGCAATTGTTTCTTTTCAATATAAAGAATATGCATAGCCCTCATGATATTACCTCGTTGGGTAATGAAACATCTGCAACCAAATAGCCAAGCTCATGAGCACTAAGGACTCCACACCATGGGTTTATTTCCTATATATTTGTACTACCATATCCACAAAGACTCAGGGAAGTGCACAGTTAAAGAGGAAAACCAAAACACAATGAAGTAATAGGCTGAATAAAATAAGTAAAAATAATAAAACCTCCACAGGAAGTTTTCAGAGGAAGGCTATTTCAGAGTGTGATCCTGGTAGAGAAAAATATAAATTCCTTGCTGTTTCACAAATTTCCTGTCTGGTTAGAATCCAATGTAGCAGACACTGCTGCAGGTATTTGATGCCATGTAGGGTTTTATTGACCAAACTAGGACTGTGAATTGTTTTCACAAATCTAGACCAACCAGTGCAATATCTACAATGAAGTTGCTATGTAAAAATAATGGGCTTTTATTTGCTGACACACGGGGTCCATTTTCTGCTAAATCTACCAATAGTAGTCTGTCATTCCATGACTAAAAATAATATCAACTTTCTGGTCCTGCCAACCTCCCAAATCTTAACTTATCCAACCACATTGTTTGATTCTCTTGGGCAGGCATTTTGCAAAAAAACAATAACATGACACCCAAAAAACAAACAAACAAAACCAATCCACTTAGACTAGCCTTTTCCCTACTCACACAAGCACTCATATCACTCTCATGTCTCATTTCCCATTCCTTTCATTAAAAAGAATCTTTTAGGAAGCTCATCCTCCCACTCTATTTTCCGTGGAGCTGACCAAGATGGATTTCTCTACCTCCCACTTCTTTTACTCATCAGGAGATGTTTTTTTTCTTGCCCAGTCTCTGAAACTGTGCATCATCAACCCACCAATATATCCTTTGCTCCTGCCTATAACATTAAATATCACTCGCCTAACTAGCCAAAGGCTACCTCTTCTAGTCTTGCATAACAATAACTGCTAAAAGCATCAAATGTGTCTGTAGGTAAACAAGTAATCAGAGTACAAAACTAATCCAGTGCTAATGATGGTGGGAAAAAAGAATTTAATATTATACCAGAAACAAATATATTTAAATGTATGTCTTCAAATAATTTATTTCAATTTTTATGGGCTATTTTTTAAAGAATTTCCATGATTTGAGCAGAAATCTGGCCTCTAGAAAAATAAAAAAGGAAGATAATGTTAACAGTTTGAGTTGTACTATATTAGAGGTCTTTTATTGCTTTATAGCTTAGTGCCAAATATATGGGTTAGCAAAAAGTTCAGCTTCTTTCATCTGAACTTGCTTTCTAATTATTCATACTTGGTGTCACAATCTTTTGTTATTAAATAACTCTGTGTGAACTGGTAACACAGAAAATTACAGTGGTAATAATAAGTGATAATCATGATAATAGCAACACAGAACAATGTAAGAATAGCACTCACTGCTGTCAGCTCCCACCCCTGATGTAAAGCAGTTGGCATCCTATTGATTTTTATTTTTTCCCACTGAAACCTGATTCTTCTGCATTACCTTGTTATAATATTTCTAGGACATCTATTATTACTTGGCATTTAAGTGTAATAGCATTTTCAGCCTCCTAGTTTTCCTTTTATGAAGTATTTTGCAGTCCTTCCCTCCATACTTTCATTTGACCTTCTTTCCAGCATTTTCATACACTCCCCGCCTTCTTAATACTGTAGTTTCACACTGGGAGGAAAAATGGATTTTATAATTTCTGTAAGCCATATCCTCTCATTTCACTTAGTTGGGGGCAAAATGCTAACATTAAAAGTTCTTGAATTAAAAGGTATTTTTGTTTTTCCTCTCTAGCTGAATGATCAGTTTATTAGGCAGGGATTTGGGATTTCACTGGAAAATTATTTTTCCTGAGTATTGGTAAAATGAAGCCATTTTTCATATTTAAGTATATTCCTCATTTAGATTCTAAGGTCCTAAACTACTAAAAATTCAGCTTAGTCATGTTATTCTTAATTAATTATGCTTTGATTTCTAATTCTCTGAAATATCTCTTGGGTAGAAAGCTAGTGTGCTATATATAATCTCCATTTTGTCTATTATTATTGCTTTTATATTAAACATTTATAATTGTTAGTTAAAAATTAGTCCTAAGCATGTGTACTCAGAAGTTTCTGAGTGTACATTATGAGTGTATCCTTAGAAATTTACCTCATATTCTTGCAATTCCTCTTCCTCTACTTCATAAGATACTGTCTGGATTTTGATATCATTTTCCATTGGAGATCTTCCCTGTGTTTCTTGCTCATCAGAAACATCAGTGGATAGGTCTTTGTTTTCCATGAAGGTTGTTTCACAATTGTCACCTTTGTTGTCCTTGACTTTGACACTGGTTTCATCTTTCACCAGAATGAAATTTGGACCATACAGCGCTTCAACAGCTAGTTGAAGAGAACTGGCATCCAACAACTGGTGTGTCCTTGCATTGCCTGAATTTTGGAAGATATAGGAATATAATTTGCCATGACAACGATGACCATGATAATCCTGGTGATAAGTACAGCTACCATGAAGGTGTCCATTGTTCTTGGCCAACAGTGGGTTCTGAAGTTCACTCACACTTTCCATTTTCCTTAAAAACTCAATGTCAGATGCTTCTGAGATAAATCAGAGTCCTTAAAGGAAACAAACAAATAAAAGGTCAATGATGCATAAATTGTAGAAATGGATTAAAAAATCCAGCAATAATTATATCTATACTAAAGAGAAGTCTATATTAATGGAAATCCAAGGACTGCAGTCATATTAGATAGGTTCTAGGTTGTACTTGACCCTTAGCACTTGAGCAATGACCTTTAGAGAAAAATTGAGAGGGTTCTCTGTCATCAGCCTTCCTTTCTTTGTTCCTGTTCAAAAGTATTACTAAAAAGAATAAAATACAGAAGAACAAGTCATGATGAAAAGAAATTAACATGGCTTTCACAGAGGAAAACCACGTCATACTAACCTTTTTGCTTTTTTGAAGGTCAGTGTAGACATGGATGATCAAAGAGTTAAATGCTTGGAATTTTCAGAAAGCCTTGCACCAAATCTCAAGTGCCACGGGATTATAGTGCATCTGATTAAAAACAGAAAAAAGGAATAAATGGACACTTTTCAGATGAGATTGTAAAGTGCGTTTATATATATATATATTGGTATAAATATAGAAAATGTGTATATAAAGTTTAATGGCTTTGGGTCCAGGCTGCTATTGGTTAGTTCCTGATCTATTTGTAATAAGATCACATTTATTTTTAAGCTGATTGTGCATAAATGAGCAGGTATGGCATGCATTACCAAAACATAGCAATGCTGACTACCCAGGTATGGCCTTGTCCAAGATTTGCCTTCTGGATTTGGGGTTCTTCAGCAGCCACAGCTCCAAAGCTTAACCTGTTTGACAAATGATGAAATTGATTACTTTATAGCAAAAGTTAGAGATCTTGCTCATGTATTTCTCCCCCTGCTGCTTGGCAAGTTTCCTTACTGAGCTCTTCAACCTTATTTCCAATTTCTTTGATGAAAGTGGGGCTTGGTAGGAATCAAGAATTCATGGCCTTACTGGCAACCATGGGTTTGTCCCAGAGAATCTCTGGCCTAATCCATACAGTTGGCCATCTTGGGATCTTATGTTCATCTTGGAGGATGTGCCATCAGTTTTTTTTTTTGCTTTCCCAGATTACTTCCTGGTTCAAATGAGGTTTGTTGCATCCTGTAACTTCATTTGATATGGAACAATTAAGATAGTCTGACACAGGTATTTGATGGTCCTGGATAGATTCACTCAGCTTGGCAGGAACTAGAGAGAGTGACTTATAATGTAACTGGAACAACATCTTGAACCTGGGAGCCATTTTTGCTTGTGGAAGGTGCTTGGTAGCTTGAATTCTATCACATATCAATTGGTTTGATGTCTTTCTTGCCTTGTTCAGCCACTTAAATAGGCAATAAATTACTTCCCTATTTATTGATTTATTAATTTACTATACCATCCATCTCCCCTACAAGATGACTTATTTGGGAGAAGAGTTGCTTCCAATAGCCTTGACAGAAACCTTCTTTGGATCCAGCAATTGGACAACTACTGCTCCTTCAACTTCCTCTTTTGGATTTGGGTGTATTTGGAGTATCAGTTGGAGAACACCCTGGCTAAAGTGGATTATCTGTTCCTCTTTTGAGTTCAGACCTAGACTTGGGATTGAAATGGTAGATAAATGGCTCAGGGAAAATCAACTTTAGATTTTTTGGCAATGTTTGATACAGTATCATTCTGGATCACCTATGACAATTGAAAGCAGAAGCACTATTTTGTAATATTTCCAAGACTTCTTAGACAGACAACATCAGTCACTGTGGATGCCAACCCTTCAAGGTAGGCCAAATCAAGAAACAGGCTCCACTAAAATTCCAGGAATGCTATTTTTTTGGTGTAGGGTATATTAACAAAATCCTGAAAGCCTGTTAAAATCCTTTACTGCCCCCCTTTAAGACAACAGCCAAGGCAGAGCTATTCTGAGTCTCTTTCTAATGCCTTCTCTTTTCCCTGGATTGAGCAACTGTTTCTCCACTCCCATCTTCTTCTCAAGGCCAGACTTAAATATCCATACAGTGGCAAGAGGGTGAAGTAGGATTCAGCTCCCCCATCCTTGCTTTTTAACATCTATGTAAAATCAAGTCGTCCATTGATTTGGAATGAGGTATCATTGATATGCTAATGACAGTTAGTCACACATTTCTACTCTAGGCCAAACTGGAAATCGAGTAATCTTGTCCTAATGTCTGGAAGATATGGAAGCCTGTATAGGACAAACTGAAAATAAACCATCTGGAATCAGCAGTTGTTGTTTAGCTCCCATCTGGTTCTCCATTGGCTCTTATTTTGACTTTAATGGAAAGATATTCCCTCTGAAAGACTAAATCTATGACTTGGAAGTTCCGCTAGAGTGGCTACTGCTGGAGATGGGCTATGGTAGCCGAGTGTTACAGTGAATTTTGTGAGTATTGCCTTTGTGTTCCAATGGGCTTCCAGATCTAATTGAAAAGCTGGTTTTAACTATTAAAGCTTATGTGGCTTGATTCTCAGAATTGCCTCCAATCCGTTTCTCCCAGGGAACGATATTCAAGGCCTCTCCCATTTGTCAAGTTTGTAGTAGAGTGCCCTCTCGGTATGTAATTCCTTTCCTCTGGCATAACGTCTACCGAGAGGTGAGGCTGGTGGGTACTCTGCTTTTGTTCAGGATGGCTATGAAAATTGTGTTGTTTGAAAATACTTTGGCTGTAGGACAGTTGCCATGGGGTAACAGATAGAACTCTTGATATAAAATATATTTTCTATCTTAAAAATTATAGAATTATTGATGCCTATATTAAAAAGGCATCAACATGGCATCCAAAATATTTAGGGACCTGGAACAGCTATCTTACAATTGGCAACTGGAAATGTTTAGGGTAGCATTAACGATGGCAAGGAGAGATATAACAAAGTCAATAAAATCAGCATAGCATAGATAAATACATACAGAGAAGTGGTTTCATCCTTCTCTCAAGGTCGCTCACAAACTAATTACAAGGAGACTGGATCAACAGAAAGAAATCTATTTTCATATAGCACATAAACTGTGCAATAATTCTATCTTATTCCATTATGAATTTAATGTTACCATTATAATGCCTTTATACCAGTTTAAAGACCTGTGCACACCTAAATTACTGTATATAGTTCTGAGTCCCACACCTCAAGAAGGATATCGTGGGGTTAGAAAAGCTGCAGAAAAAGAAAACCAAAAGAGGAAAATAACTCCATTATGTGAGAAAGAATACTCTTTAGAAGTAAGAAATGGGGGACATAATAGATATGTACTTTATCAAATTATTCATGGAGTCAAGGAAGTAAATAAGAAGCACTTTCTTTTCTATCTTTCAAAATATTGCAGTGCAGTGGTAACGGCAGCCAGTTGGGAGAGCTTTATGGGGAATCAGGTTACCAGTTCCTACTCATATGTATGCTTGTTTACCCTTTTCTGAGTGAAACAATTATGTAATACATACTGGTTGCCTATCCATCTATGCATATGAGTTTTCCAAATGGCACTAGGATATGCAGAATGCTAAACTAGTTGGACCTATATGTTATAGCCTGGTTTGCTGAAACAAGGGTCCAATTGTCTGTTACAAACCCAACAGAATGAAGAGCCCCTTTGGCTTCTAAGGTTCAGTTGGACACAACATATCATAATGCATTTGACAGGTTCCAAGAAAGAAAAGAAAATGCTGGAAGTTACTAACGTCTGCCTGGTAGTAGAACTATAGTTGAGGATTGCGGCATTTTTACTAATGGTGTGACTTTAAAGCACCATTGGAAGTAGAAATAGAGCATTGAAGGTTTGTTTGAGAGGAATGGTTACCTAAGTGGTTAGTGCATTTGGAGATTATGATTCCTGGCACATCGGTCCCTTTCTTTAATCTTACATTTAAAATGAATGATTTACTTCTGTCTCCTCTCTTGCATTTCTTTAGATCATCCAATGTCATCCCAGGACTGTCCAGATCCTACATAACTTTATATCAATTTCTTTCAAGCATCTTATTTAATATTGTACCAGAAACTGATAAACAGGCCATGAAAATGCTTCAGGGGAACAACAGATCTGAAATGTACGATACTGAAATCCATTATCAAAGTGCTGAAGATCTGGGCTGCATGTTGCATAGTTCTTTGAGAACACAGAAAAAAAGGAAAGTATAGTCATTAGAAAGGGGGGCAAAGTATTGACTTACCTTAGTTTTGATAGAAAATGACAGTATTTGGCAGCATAATTGGGCATGAGAGCTTGTACTTCTCTTCTAGCTGCCAGAATATTGTCTGAACACTGACTTTATTTGAGTCCTTACGCCAGCCTCATTATGGCAGGTAGTGAAATCAGACTATGAATCATATGAAAAGATGAGAAGGTCAAAGCTATCATGATGGTTAGAATGTATTGAACATTGCCCTTTCTTTTTGGCAGCTTGAGATGGAGAAGAGTAGCTGATGTAAATGCATAGTGCATCCTTTATGCTGGATCATAACTTCCTGCAGAATTACAGTGAATGGCAGATGGTCTCGGCACAGATCTGAGTCTGGCATCCCCTGAAGAAACCTTCTATGCATGATAAACAAGTGAGGCAAACGATGAATTACAGCTTTTCAGTTGCAATTGGTTTAAGTAAGCGTGATCTATTTTGCATGCTAAAGGACTGCTAGAGAGTTCTTCAGTGCTAATGGACTACTAGAGAGTTCTTCAGTGTTTTGACAGAAACTTCAAGGAAACAGTGGAAATCAAGAAAGAAAAGGGGATGAAAAGTTGCTTGACATGGAAACATCTTCTATCTGTGCTATGGTACATTTATAACAAATGTCCCCTTTGCAGTGACAGTGCATATAAATTATAAGAAAGAAATTTGGGGTGCCTTTTAGTTGAGATTAATGACATCAACATATCATATGGCGTATTACTGTAACATTCTAAGAATTATTATTCATTGGCAAAGCCAATGTATTTAAGTAAGGCGAGAAAAACCAATGGTTATAGTATTATGTTCTTTCTTTAAAAAATAGTTGTGATCACACAGACCCATTTTTTTAAAGGCAAAATCAGGCAGCCACAGAAAGATAGCCAGCTGCACACTAGGGAAATATTTTGAATATTTTGCACACATTCTGATTAGTTGGATGGCCCACAATTGCTTTGGCAATTGCTTTTAACTATGGGAAAGATTACTTTTGGTAATGAGAAAATGGGATTTTTAAAAAGAATCTCATCACTAATTTTTAGTCAACTACTAAATTAATCCATTAGATACAGCAGTTTTTGATATAGCCATGTAAAAAGTTCCATCAAAATAGGTCTTATATATTTAAAATAGCAAGAGCTGCTACAATGAGCACTTTGTGATTATCTTCAGCAGGAACAGAATTACAATTCATGACGATTTACTATTATATTG